CAAAACAAAATATATGATTACAATTATTTTGTAAACCAAATGGTTTATTCATTGTCAAAATATTTTCAAAACAGATATAACATGTCATATTATCTATTTCTTCAATTCTATCTTCATTAGACATATTTTTAGTTTTAGTTCATTTAATAAAACATAAAATTAATCATATATTTCACTCAAATAAAAATAAAATTAAGTAAACAAAATTAGTTTTTTAGTTTATATAAATTGCGCAAATTTAACAGAATGATTCAATAAATCAATTTCTAACTATAGTTTTTTTTATTATTCTTTTTTTGAATAGATTGAAGACTATAATAAATGATGCATAAAATAAAATACTTTTGTATTTAATCCTATTTCTTTTCCATGCAAACATTAATTAAAGATATCGACATAGATTGTAACAACTAACAAACATATAAAGTCTAAAATGAATCTAAAAAATATGACTGAATTAATCCCAACAATTTTTGATGTTTGAGAGAATATATAAATTCACATAAATATTACTTCTAGAAAATTTTTAGCAGAGTTTCTCATTTCTTTATCTTGATACAAGATTGCAAAGGAATCACATTAAAATACATAATGTTATTTGATACTATTAAACCGAACAATCTTCTATGTATTGATTTAAAATAAACTAAACTATCTGCAGTAGTTTTAATGTTTTGTTCATTGAATTTGAACAGTTTTCGTATTGAATGGTAGCTCCTAAAACGCTCTACAAAATGGTATGTTTTATCTAATAAATACAGTTTTTGTATAGTCTCAGTTCATCGCTTAGTATTACTCTGTTAATATGTCAATTGTCTTCTAGTATTTAATTAGTTAAAATCAGAACTACTGAAAAAACGTCCTTGCTGTACTTTACTATATTTTTGGTGTAAATAAATCGATGGAATCACTACAGAGACATGATCATTGTTGTATTTAATTTCTATATCTTTTCATTTTGATGATATATAATTCGTAAAAAGTTTTACATTTAGTTTTATTAGAAACGATGTCATAGTCTAATCCGAAGTAAAAGAAGAATATTTAAAACACAAACAATCTGATTTATTCTGAATCATCTGATAAAAAGAAAAGAAAAATGCTTTCTTGATGAAGAAAATGTTAAAACTTATGATATGTTTTATTTATGAATGATGTTCTTTATCAATTTATTAATACAAGTACTGTTTTTTACATATAATATAAATTTTCATCAGAGATCAAAACATTATTGTTGTTATCGTTATCGACAAATCAATTTCTTTAGTTTCAAATGAATTTCAGGTAGCGATGTATAACAAACGAATGGTAAGAGAAATATAAAATAATATGACATAAAATATGCATAAGGTGCTAATTTTAAACCAATCGTTTCGAGAAACTCAAATTGAAAACAAATCAATACAAATAACCACGGCCCATAAAATATAAAATAAAGAATCGATATAGATAAAGTTTGAAATATCATTGTTCGTGATTTTTCTTGATGGAAATGAGTTTTACTCCATCGTATACGTAATAAAAAAGCAGTACTAGAAATAATAATAATTAATGATGGAATAATTTGATGACATATTAGATCGAAATATCGAATTTTTGAATTATTCCATACACAAGAATATAAATCTATATTAATACAAGATGAAAACAAAAGTAAAACTGAATACCAAGTAAAACAATAGATAATTAGAATAATAATAGGAAGATAATGTATATAAAAGCGTTTCTTTTCTGTTGATAACCATTGATCATGGAATATAAGTATGTGTTGTTCTATAGTAGCCCAAGCAAAAATAATCAACTGTATTGTATAAAATCCAATATCAATAAATGACCAAAATTTGTAGAAAATTGATATTATTTGTAAAGGTATATTAAAAAAGTAATTATAAACAATTATTGGAATATTTATTAATTCATAAATTAAACATATGAAAAGAATAATAATAAGAATATGATTATTAAGTGCATTACGAAGTGTTCGATCAAACAAAAGATAAAATAGATTGATAAAACAACATGCAGCTGACAAAATATTGGAAATAAGATAGAACCAGAATTGAATAGAGTCAGAAATTTGATCGTTTATATTCGTTTTATTTTCGATGATATTCGACATTCCATTGAAAAAAAAATCACAAACATAAATTATTATTTATTAAATATAAAACGAAATTAATTCGAAAAATTCATTTTTTGACTGGCGCGAATTAAAAATTATTCTATTCAAGTATAAAATCAAAACTCAAGCGATAATATTTCTTTTTAACAATTGTTACAATAATATAATGTTGTTTACGGTCAAATCTAAATGATTGGTGTTTGTAAGATGATAACTACGTACCGAACTTGATAAAAATATGTTAACATTTCGTATCTTGATGAGATATTTTGTTAGGCACTGGCAATAAACAATAAGAATTATTGATCTTGATTAAATACTGAATTCTTTTCTTCGAATATATTTTATCGTTTGTAACATGAGAATTCCAATAAATATGTGTTTTTTGTTAAGTGAAGTGTATCTATTTCAATTAGAAAACAATTCGCGTCTACGATTGTATTTATAATAGAATTTAGCCGAAACATCTTGTAAAAAACCTATACTTATGCTTTGTTATATAATATGTCTTTGAATGCATCCGTTTCTTTTATTTTTTTCTCATTCCATTATCCTAAATCTCATGTACTAATCGAAATTAACATAAATATATGAAAAATGTTAACAATATTCTTTACATATTCGACAGTTTAGTACGTCAAAAACATCGAAAGATCAATCTAATAATGCACAGTTTTCAATGGAAGATTATGTTATCGTTTTATTAAGTTTCGGTTAAATTCGATTGACAAAAAAAAGAAGAGTTTTGCAAACTACGTAAAAATGTCGTTAATTTCGATAAAAAACAAAAGTAATATTCTAATATAAAAAATACACACATGTTCACAAAAATTTTTATCTTGCTAATCATCTGAATCACTTGAATTACTCGAGCTTGATTCATTACGATTGGTTTTTCCTGATGTTTTTTTAGCAACTGTTGTATGTTTTGATGAATGATCATGAGTAGAACCAGAATTATGTAAACCACCTTGTGTTGTTGGTTGAGACTTTCGACTATTATTTCGATAAGGATTACTATCTACTGGTAAACTATAATGTGAACCAAATTCTGAATTATGACGATGATTCGGTAAGACACTCATTGAACCGGAATGATTACCACCAAGATTCCCTGTTGTTTTACGTTTTGGATCATTGAGAGCTGTTTCGCTTACACTTCGTTGTGATGGATGTAAACGATGAAATGGTGCAGCTGTACGAAATTCCTTCAAATTCAAATATATTGACAAATATTTATAGAATTATTAGATCTACCTCTAAATCCTGTGCAACATTAATATTCATTAGCTGTTGATGTGCATATGTGTACATTTCCATAGCACGAGCATGAAATGCCAAATTTATCAATGTGAAATCCGTAAAATATTTCTAAAATATTTTAATAAACTATAGAACTTATAAGTAGAAGTTACGGCTTCGCCAGAATATTTAAAATTTAACTTTATACTTGTAATGAGAGAACATGATGTTTGTATTAGAAACGTCAAGGTTTTATTTTTCTACATTTTCAAATGTATCTATATGCCTGGATATATCTTATCTTCGACTTAGACCAAGTCTCTGTAGTTTTCGAAGTTTTTGAAAACGAGAGTCTACATTGAGTTTTGGCTTCTTGAACATGGCATTTAAAATTAGTATTATGATACAATGACATTATGTGCGTTTCTGTATCTGACAGTGATCTCCGTCCTACCATAATTCCTGTAATTTGTACATCTCTTCTCTAAATAATTGAGAGTTGTCTAATTTTAACACTGCTAATAGACATTAAATACAATTTTCATAGATCCTATAACTCTTTCCTAGAATATAAAAACTATGTCATTCAAAAGATCTTTCAAAATATTTTAATAATGCATTTGATCTCAATCTATCGACTTATGGATCACGTAATTTCTGAATATAATTGCATCAATAAGTAATTTAACCATACAAGAAGAATATGACTATGGAAAAATCTGATCTAGTTCTGATGCATAAGTGTGAAAAACTCGTACTATTTAGAATAAAAATTAAATACTTTGATATCTGTAATCTTCATTTCTTCGAATTTATCAATTTCATCTTGTACAACATTATCAGCACGTGATGCTTCTGTTTGAGCATACTCAGCATTAACTTGCATAGCAACGATAGCATCTCGATTTCCTGGAGTCCGATCTGTTGTTTGTTGTAATTTACGTTGTCGTTGAACACCTTTATCTCGTGCACTAATGGCTTTTTGGACTGCTTGCTACAAATAAAATTAATTTTTTTCTTATGAGATAATTAAATTTTATACTCGTTTAAGTTTCATAATTTCACCATATTTAGCAAGTGGTTCTAATATTTGAGTTTCTACCCGTGTAATCTATAATAATATAGATTGATTATTTAAAAAAAAGAATGAATTATTCATTTAAAGCTTACAAGTGTATTACGATAATCTTCTACTGCCGATAGATAGCTAGCATATTGTTGAAGACTTTGTCTTAATGTTGTATTTATTCGTTCACGATCGGAAAATTCAAATATATTTTGAACAAATGCATCATTACAATCACGTAATGATGCTTCTTTCCGGCATACTTTACCAAATTGTGTACATATAGAACCTAAATATTTTTCAGCTTGATTTATACGTTCTAATACAAATTTTGTATTAGTTGTATCGTTAGAATTCATACTAAAAAAAAGAATTCATGAGATTTATTATACAATTCACCTAACTGGAAGCATTTTGTTTACATATGCTAAAGAATAAAATAAACAGAAGAAAAAAAATCTGCCATAGAACTATATGTAGTGATGGTTATACTTGAGGAATAAACGAGCAGAGGCCGCTGTATGTTTAATAAATCAGTTATATAAGATTTTTGTCGAAAAAGATCTTTTCAAACCAACGAAACATTCATATCGATATATTTAGATAACAGAAAAAAAGTATTTGTCGTATGCAGAAGTATAGAGGTCACTCTATGACAATCGATAATATTGAACAATTCGATAATAAAATATGACAATCATATTATTTGATTAGATTTTATTAATTAACATAGAAATGTGTTGTTTAAAAATGGTGAAAAAATTGTAGAAAAATCTTAATAATTTTTATATTTATTATTCTCGACGAGAATATATATAAAATTGATAGAGAGAACTAATTTGTTTATATTTCTACTTTGTAACAATGTCTTATACACAACTATTATTTGTACAATTTAATTAATTTTTATTATATAAATATCGATGAAATTTCCTACGTACATGTCAAACACTTCTTACATTATAATATAACATAATATTCATTTACTGTTAAAAAAAATACATGAGACGGCCTTCAATGAAGGACATAAAATAGATGTATGTGATACACGAGTATCGGATAGATACGATTTGTTATTCATAACACCGACTCATTCAATGATGACACATCACCACGAGGGTGCAACTAAGCGTATCATACTTATTTCGTAAGTAGATATTGATTGACTATGTTGTCGAGTATATTTTTTTTCTATTAAATAAAAAAAAATGCAAGGAAATACACGATGGCAATTCAATCCATTTGATCGTGTTCAACCATTAAAAAGACATGATGTTTCGACACAATGGAGTGTACCACGTAGTAAAAGTTTAACTGATTTACAAGAGTCACCGTCACAACCACCGCTACGTCAACCGGTTGGTATTAGATCTTTTTATGTGATTTCTTTCTAACTAGAATTCTAGATTCCTTCTTTTGGTCGACCACCTCCTGATCGCATTTGCAAAAATGTTCCCTATCCTATTGTACATAAACTTCGTATCGATGAATTATTCGATTTCCGACATGGAGAACGAGTAAATATTGATTTGCTTATTCATCACTTAAAGAATGAAGGTATTAATTGTATTTTATTTAATTCATATTAAATTATATTTTATTAAGGTCGTCTTGATGAACCAACTTGGCGTCATCTTCTTTTACAAGCAAAAGCAATACTTGTTCAAGAACCTAATGTAGTTTGTATTCCACGTGGCTGTACTATTGTTGGAGATATTCATGGTCAATTTTATGATCTATTATCAATATTTGAGTTAGGTGGTCCATTTGGTCAACAAACATATGTCTTTCTTGGAGATTATGTTGATCGTGGTTCATTTTCATGTGAATGTCTTTTTCTTCTTTTAGCTCTTAAAATCAATTATCCACGATCGTTTATTCTTATACGTGGTAATCATGAATCACGTCAAATGACACAAGTATTTACATATCAAAAAGAATGCAAAGTAAAATATTCGCTTGAACTTTGGCATGAATCAATGTTATTATTTGATTGTTTACCGATCTGTGTTTTAATTGATGATCGATTTTTATGTATGCATGGTGGTATTTCACCTCATATTAAAAATATTACTGATATAGCAAAATTAAATCGTTTTCAAGAGATTCCATCAGAAGGTTCTCTATGTGATATAATGTGGTCTGATCCTAGTCGACCATTTACTGGTCAACAAACTCATGCATGGACATTTAATAATACACGAAATTGTTCATTCTTTTTTAATTATAATACATGTGAACGTTTTCTTATTGACAATAGTCTCTTATCTATTATTCGTGCGCATGAAGTTGTACCTAATGGTGTACTTTTTTTGGAAAATGGATCAATATCACAATTTCCTGTTCTCATTAGTGTATTTTCAGCTCCAAACTATTGTGATGTATATAATAATACAGCAGCTTTAATTATTTATGATCATGAGCGAAATTTTCGCCCAGTTTATTTCCGTCATCGCCCACACCCATTTATTTTACCAAATCATGAAAATGCATTTGAATTTGGTCATCGATTAATGAAAAATTATGTACAAGAAATTATTTTAGCTCTAATTCAAGGCTATACAAAATCGGCTGGTCGTTCTAATGATGAAGTATCACAAAAATTGAAATCGAAAGAAAGAATGTTGCAGGAACATACACATACATGTCGGCGAATGAATAAAATGAATATTCAACTAGCCAATTTATCACCACCGGAACAATTACAAGAGAAAGCATTGAACAATAAAGATGTTTTCGATGAAGCTACTACTTTACTTAAGAAATCATTAGTAGAAAATGATCCAGTATTAGCATTTGATTCAGCATCAAAAATAGATGCTTTATATGAAGAACGAATACATTAATGTGCCCTCTTTTTTCTACTTTTATTAATTAAGAAAAACTATAGCAAACGGAAACATTCATGCAATTTCTTTTTTTTTGTAATATACCTGGTTTAAAAATAAAAGCACAAATCTTTATCATAATTGATATTAGTAAACAAAAAAAAAAAATAAGTATGTAAGTATGATTATCTAAGTTAAAAAAAATTCGAGTCTATTCTTGTTTTTAGCTTCTTGCCTTATAGGAAACCATATCAGTAGTAACCTAAACGAATAAAAGGAAATAATCAAAGAAGATACAAGGAAAATATATTTAATAATTACGATTTATGGTTGAAAATCTCACTGGACTTGACGTACGTGATCGACGAACAGGACTAATCGATCGACTACGAACTGGACTGGTATATCCTAATCGAACTGGACTCGCTGCTCGCGAACGATTCTAAATAAATTAATAAAATAAAATTTGAAATATAATATTAACTATACATACCAATGAAGCACCACGTCTTGTAGCTGCTTCACCCTAAAAAATTCGTTATAATCAAAATTATAAATAATCAAGACTAACAGCTGTTATTCAGTGCTCGAAATTGAGTTTTTAAAGAACTAACAAAAACATACTTTAACAATAACACGTCCTCCTTGCATCAATGCTGGCCAAATATGATGATCAACCAATGGTGCTCCATATTCGGAATCATAACTTCGTCGATATCTAAATTTGTTTTTTGTTTTGTTTCATACTATTCTTTTATTCAATGTAAGCTTACTTTGAATCATCAAAAACTTCACCATCAGTAGCAAATCCAACATCAAATGGATAAGCAAGACATGCCATATGCCATGCAACACGAACTGCTTCTCGTATATATGTACTTATTATTGTATACGAGACGCCAAGTGGAAGACTTATTCGTGGATTACGATTTAAATTACTGATTATCTCCTACGAATTTTATATACATAATTATAATCAGATTTTATAAAAATAAAATTCTTACCGATACAATTTTTGGTAATTCAAAAGGTTCAACATTTCGATTGATATAATCTTGAACAACATCTTCAAGTGAATCGGGACCTGTATGTGTAATAGCAAATTGTGAACGAAGACGCAATTTCCAATCAGTAGAACGACGTTTTGCTACAGAAAATGCTTCCTAAATGAAATAATTATTAATAGTAATAATAAAAAAAGAAGAACAATTAAAAATGACTAATTACTTGAACAACAGCAAAACAAATACGTTGATTCATATCATAATCATCGGATACTGTTCGAAGGATATCCATGGCATTAAGTCGTTCTCGTGCATTTAAATCATTATAACATTGAATTAATGATTCTTCACGAATCACTTGCACAGAACCACTTGCTGATGTTGATAAGACTAATGGACGAGTTGGCGATAATGAGCGTCGTCGTACATAACTAAAGAAAACGTTAAAAAAATATAAAAATTTGATTTTTGAAAAAATAATTTCACCTTGCAACCGGTGAAGTCGATCGTGAACGTATTTGAGCTAATTCAAGATCAGTACGTAATCGACGAAGATCACGTTCGGTATGATCAAGAATAATATCCGATCGTGGTTTACATCGTTCGAGTGAAAGACGAAATTCGGTATCACTTAATCTATTTAAAAAAAAAGATCTTTTTTCATAAGATAGAAAACTATATATTTAATTTACCGTGTTCGTAAATTAGATAATTCAGATTCGATAAACATTTTTTCACCTGTTGATTTAGCTCGTTCATCGATCAATTCTGCTCGTGTTTCTTCCAATCTAGAAATTTAATTGATTTAAAAATAAAAATATATAAAATATTATATAATAAATACTCGGCTTCGAGACGAGCATTATCGACATTGGCTTCGCTTAAATCTTGTTCAAGGTCATTCAAATTATGTTCATATTCATTAGCTAATGAATGAAATTCAGCTGTTGTACGAAGATGTGCATATGGATAACGCCACCAAGCCAATGGATATAAATCCGAACCAGTATTGCTCAATAAACCATTGAGATAAGATGCTTCCACATTGAGAAATGGCAATAGACGTGCTCTTATTGTTGATGCACCACCATAAACACCACCTATTATACAGAATATAAGCATTCAATAATGATAATAATTGGAAAAAAAATATGTATATGTTGTTTTCCCAGCCGATAGAAGCTGATATCACCTGGTGCTTGTACTACAGAGTAAATCAAACAATGCACAAAGTATATCAGCCGTTTCGCGCAAGATTTCTATCTGTGTATGTAAGAAAAAGAAGATAGAATGAGAATGAACGTTTCTATCTTCATCAATTGTCGCGCGACCGAGAGACAAAGAGAGTGCATATTAGTAGAAAGGAAAAGAGAGAGAGAGAGAGAGAGAGAGAGAGAGA